TTCGCATTACAAAATTGATTACTGTGTAATACATGACTCTAAATTAATCTCAAAAACACAATTTTAATAAAGTGATCGTTCCGACCGGGGATCGAACCCGGGACCTTTGAATATTAAGTCGAAATTACTTTAAAATTTTACTAAACGTCTACTAAATAGAATAAATATCCCTTGATGATTAATCTTTAGAAGCTGTTTGTAATTGGGGAAACTAATAAATTGAAATATTATTTTTGGACGCGTTGCCAACAACTATAATAATATCTACAAAACGAATCAACATCAGGGCGCGAGAATCACCGTAACAGTTCAAACTAGTGCTAATGATATTACCAGGAATTTCATAATACCTAATAACAAGTACTGTTGATTTGATTGAAGTAACCTTAATGTGTATACACAACAATATAGATTGAATGTGTTGATGAAATGAATGAAAACTAACATCTGTTTCATCTGATTATAATATGAGTGTCTTCAAGGCAAGAGTGATTAGGCTTTTGTTAAACTAAGTCGCACGTTACATAGTTGATACACTAGACATTTTTTGCGCTTTACCATCTTAGGCTGCATCACCACTAACCATCAGGTGGGATAGTAGTCGAGCACTGGCCTAAAATAATAAAAAAAAAAGTAAGTGATCAAAGTGTATACAAATAAATCACTTAAGAGATTCGAAAGTCAATAAACTTCAGTTTGAGTATATTAAAGAATATTTCCTCGTAACAGCCCGTAGACTCGGACTCAAATCAGTTATTCTGCCGTATGGCACAGCCATGGACGTATCATTAACTTAACCAAACTGCATCCACGGGAATAGCTAAACTATTCTGCCATATCATAAATCCGCTAAATTGTCTAAATTATAAATTAATTATACGCTAAATCTTTCACATGTGCGCTGGACGTACCAAAACGCGCTAGATCTAAAAAATACTGCTTCGGACTAGTTCGTAGCGAAATATTTATTAGTGGTATTTTTCATTAGAGTCATGTATCCCCCCCCCCACAATGTCATAAGTATACACATTAGTAGTATATATAATGAAGTTAAAAGAAAAACTATCACAGCTAAGGAGAATTAAGAAGTTAACGAGTAATAGTCGACAACTTATAAAATGCACTTGGATTAGTAAAAATTTCGTTACAACACCATAGAAAGCGATCTAAAACTAGCTGTATTAATAACTTTGTGACTTTATTGTAAACTGTTAAAAATAAAGATTTTATGAAGAAAACTACTTATATGCATTACCACTATTAGCTTTACTTTTTCATTTACGTGATATTATCAAAATCAAAAAGTTTTTTAATGTTTTTTGAATACCTCTCTCATTATAAGTCGATCTTCCTATTTGGGCTCATTTTTACTCGTTATAGCGGTCAAACCGCGAACTCACTTAATATGCTCATTATTTTTTTTAAATACTCATAATGTTTAATAACATTACTAGCATTTATATACTCCCTTTAACCACTTCTGGTAAGTTTAAAATGCTTGTGTTAGAAGTGGTTCACGACAGTAGTCGAATGGCGGATTCGAACCCACGACCTTTTGAGTTCGCGGTCCGCGCCCTGCCATTAGGCTACTGACGCTTCTATCATTATCAAGGAAGACCACGTATTGTGACGGGCAACTACGGAACCCTACCTCTACATTGTGCGTGGCCCGACACGCACTTGGTCAGTTTTTATTTTATGTTATTGTAACTTGTGTAACGATAATAGTTGCAAAGGGATATCAGATTTCTATTGATACGACTAATATTTATAGGCTATGCCTGTATTCTGTTAATCTGTTATCCATATCTAATAATAAAAAATAGGGGGATCGATTATGTAGTGGCTAAAAGCGTTTGGCTGTGACGCTGCGGACCAGCGTGTTCGAAAGCTACACGAAAAATTGTTTATTGTATTGCCTACAAATTATTATTGTTCGGGGTATGAATGCGCAATTTATTAACTATGCACAATTTATCAACGTGAAACGATACCACGAGACGGGAGAAAATCCTAGTGTTACGTATAAAAATTGATAGGTAGGAATACAGAAGTCAAATAATATAAACTAAATTAATCGGAATGTAATTTACATTAATTTTGTGTAGTCTGTAACGGACCATGTTTTATAGGCACTTGAAATTCCTATAATGTAGCGTCAACTTTCACTTACGGTCAACATTAAACATAACTTGTTCCTTGTCCCCATTGTCGCACAGAACTTGTTCTTTTATCAAAAGGTTAAAGTATTGGAAAATAAAAATATAGAATCGATTAAGGTACATACATATTTTATTATTTAATTTATTCATAATAGATATATTATTATTAATTATTATTAATTACATATATTTTTATTAATTCAATAAATAATTATGAAACCCATGATTTGAATAATAAATCACAATATAATTAGGTCACAAGAACATCGCAAAACAGATATGAGGGAGAATAGGGAGGATATATGAATTTCATATACAAATGGGTAAGATCTAAAATATATCTATATATTTCAGATCTTACCCATTTGTTATAAATCTGATAAATATGTTACATGTAAAAAACTTAGAATTCTAAGGTAAAAAAAAGGACGGGAGGCCTATTTTCAGCTGTGGATATGTGGAGGGCTGTAATGATGATGATGATGTAAAAATACTTACGGATATGGAAAATTGAAGATTAATGATAAAATCCCAGAAAGTTTAATATTATAATACTAGTTACAACCGGCAAGCGTTAATGTCACTTTTATGTCAGAACACAATTACTCTCTACCGATCACCTATGAGGACATTCAATGACATTAAGGCACTAAGAGCGGGTGATGTGCCTAAATTCTTGGATATTTAAGTAAAAACATGACAATAACTGTTCATTTAATCCCAAAGAAAAAATACAAGGTGACAGAAGAGGATTTAATAAATGTTTTTAATTGAATAAAATTGTATTTTTGTCAATCTCTTACGAGTATTAGAAAAAAAATCCCCTTTGTCATATTTTGCAAAAATATCTCCAAAACGGCACCAGCTCTAAATAGTTTTTACACTAAAAAAAGGTCTTAAAATATTAATATTTTTAATTGAGAGTTTTATTTTTATTCCCCCTTTTCCTCGAGAAAATATCATTTTTCCTTAAAATTGAATATACTAGCGCGAGCGTACCTGCTCCGTCGCTCTGTAATCACCCGGGATTATAAGAAACTCTTATAAGAAAAAAGTGAAAGTGATAGTTTTTGAAAAAGAAAACAATAAAACGATCTGTGAAATAAGAACAGAAGGGGAGTTGATTAATGAGTTTGTGTATTTGGGACGTGTATTTAGCAGAGATGGTAGTTATGATAAGGATATAGAACGACGAGTGAACGCAGAGAATAGAGTAAATGGGGCTCTACACTCTATCGTGAAAAGTCAGAATATATCAAAAAAGGCACAAAGAGTAATCCGTAATGCTGTGTTAAGCCCTACTTTAGTATGTGGTAGTGAAAGTTGGGTGTGGCAGAAGAAACACGAGAGTAAAATCAGAGGTGTACCTAGGGTAGTGCAAGTAGGAAAGTAGGGTAGTGCCCCGGGTGCCTTTCAAAATAGGGGCGCACAAAAGCGCTAATTATGAAATTTAAAAATCAAAATAAACCTATTCATATCAAACGATCCCGTCCACGATTTATGAGCTTCGTGTTTGAGGGAAAAGGAATGAGTGATACGTGAAGGCGGCTCATTCGAATTTGACACTTCGTAATTAGAAAATAGATTAAATTTCGTATCGGCGTGGTGTTTAGGGCAAATCGGCTTTACAACAAGGCGCCAATTTGGCTAAAAACAAAAGAATTGATTTCGTGCTCTTTATTTTGTAAATTGAATGCGTAGTTAAATAGATTTAACATTTTTAGTTACTTAATTCTCAATATTAAATATGATGTTTGTACGGAAAAGTTCAATGAACTGACAAAATGAAAGCAATTCTGTCAGATTATTTAAAAACAGAAATTATAAAATTGGGTTCAGAATATTTTCAAAATAATGAAAATCTTTTCCTGCCAACAAATAACCGATGTATGAAAAAAAGTTAGTTTAAAAAGAAACTAGCAAATTGCGATGGACAAGTGAATCGATCATGGCTAGTCTGTTCCCCGACTAAAAAAATCAGCTTTTTGCATTTGTTGTCTTAATCTTCTCATGATTAGATAATCAATCTTCATAAGAACACAAAGATGGATTAGCCACTGGAAAGCTCACTACACATGAATATGCGAAGAACCATCGTGAGTGTTCACCCAGTGCTCAGTGGAAGGAAACGGAAACAAAATTCGCAGCTAATAAATGGATCATTGACGATGAACTCAGATCGAGTCAGAAAAACAAAAGTGGCATAACGTGTTAAAAAGAATCCTTCACTGTATCAAATGTCTTACTTCTCAATATCTTGGATTACGAGGTCACTCACTGCAAGCGATTGAACCGAATTCAGCCATGTTGGTTATTTCCTTAGATTAATAAAACTCTTGGCCATATTCAACCCCGCCGTGAATAACCATCCCACTCATATTAAAAATAATTCAGGAACCACATCTTACTTTCACCTCAAGTTCAAAATGAGTTTCTTCAACTTATGACGACCACTGTTCGTCAAAATTTATTGCAAAGCATTCGTAAATCAAAATACTATTGTCTCAAGTTTGACTCAACTCCCGATCAAGCACGTCGTAAGCAGATGTCAGAAGTAGTGAAATATGTAGAGGTTGATTTTGATAGAAAATCAGTCCGCGTTAGAGAGTCCTTTCTTGGTTTTATATATAGATAGAGATAGACAATATGAATCAAGGATTGTTGTTCACAATGATATAACAACGCGGCTGTGATGGCTGTGCATCGAACTCAGTTCACAAAAGATTAAGTGAAAAAAATAATGTAACGATATTTGTGCATTGCGACAATCATTCACAAAATGTGGTCGTTGTATATGCAGCTAAGCAGAATACGTCAACTAAAGAAATCTGAAGAAAAATGCAGCTAAGCAGAATACGTCAACTAAAGAAATCTGAAGAAAAAGATAAACGTCAACTAAAGAAATCTGAAGAGCTAATTGAATTTATAGTGCATTACGGGGATAAAAGCGTATTTCCGAATCTGCGCATTTCAATTCAAATTCTACTCACAATTGCATTATCCATCGCAGGTTGTGAGCGATCTTTGGGTAAGTTGAAATTAATACTTTCATATTTGAAGGCTATAATGGGTCAAGAAAGATTATGCCACCTAGCTTTTTTTAGTGGCGAGCGAGAAGAAACGTAAATAACTGATTTCGATAACATCATCGTCATGTTTGCGTCGCAAAAAGCCAGGAAGGTACAATCGTAACTCTAACGGCTTTACGGACTTATTTTCATAAAAATAAAGTCACTTAGGCATGTTACCTCCAGTTATTCGGCGCTTTCTAATTCTAAGTATTTACACAGACACAACTTAGTAGCAAGGATTCTACACCAGGAGCTCGCTCTGAAATACCGCGCTAAGACTATTCTTGAAGCCAGATATTGTACTGCTGGAACCAACGAGGTGACCGACATGAGAGGTGATCTGCCGCCCGAAATTATTCCTGTAGTCGTTCGTGCGTCCATACGTGCGTGAGTGCGTGTGTATGTGTATGAAATTGCGAATTGTCGTAGTTATTTAAAAATGTAGTTTACGGACTCTGTTTCGTATGTGTTCAATGTAAGCTTCAAAGGTGACAGTTATATTATTGTCTCTATATTATATCAAAATCAATTGCTGTTCGTTAGTCTCGCTTATTTAAAAACGGCTGGACCAATTGTGTTGAATTTTTTTGTGTGTTTGAATGGGTCCCTGGGTGGTTTAGATTTACAATTGGGCCCGGTAAGCGGTGCTGTTATCGAGAACCAGAAATCCCCCATGTGGAGTCGGGGCGGTTTGCTAGTATATCTCTATATATAAAAATCAATTGCTGTCCGTTAGTCTCGTTAAAACTTAAAAACGGCTGGACCGATTGTGTTGAAATGGATCCCTGGATGGTTTAGATTTACAATTGAACCCGGTAGGTTGCGCTGTTGTCGAGATCCAGAAATCCCTGTGTGAAGCCGGGGTGGTTCGCTAGTATGTAATAAATATGTTTAGCGTTATAATGGTTTCATTAAGTGTATCATTTTTATATTAAGATTATTTATGAAGGGGCGCAAATTTGGCGCATGCCCTAGGCGCCCTTTTCGATTAGTACGTTACTGAGTAGAATAAATGTTGTAGAAATGCGGTCATTAAGGAATATGTTAGGGCTGAAACTGATTGACAGGGTGAGAAATGTGATTAGAGAAAAGTATGGGTTGCAAGATGATGTTGAGACCAGCATTAAGAAAGGAATACTTCAGTGGTTTGTTCGTGAAGACACAATGAACGGGGAAAGAGCGACAAAGCAAATCTATATTGCAAAAGTGAACGGCAGAGTTGGGATCGGACGCGCTAGACGAAAGTTTATATCGACCAAATTGGCGATATATTGAAAATGAGCCAGATTAGGAATAACCTTAACCGACGAGTATGTATGCGTATATACATGTATGTAAAGGAGGCGAGAGAGGTGTGTCAGGATCGTGTCAAATGGAAGACCGTACTCTGCCTACTCTTCTGGGTGACAGGCGTGAGTGTTTTATGTTAAATGTATTATTATTTATTTTTTATATTATATACGTCGTTGAAAAAAATTTTAAGAAATAAATATAAAATTGATCCAATTTTTTTGTAGTTGATACATAATCCATTTAATACCCAGTGATATCGGCTACACATATGTACATAGTTAACTTATATTTCTATCACTTTTTTTTTGTATTTTACATCTTATTTAAATATACTTACTTACTACCCTTACTTATCCTTACCTTTACACAATTATACACACTTTTTCATCATAACTCAGTATGAGGTGTATCAGGATCGTACATGCTCATCGTTTAAGGGTACTCTTAAATTTTATATTTGCTCAGCTTCATTATCATTATTATTACAGCCCTTCACAAGTCCACTACTGAACATAGGCCTCCCCCAAGATACTAAGCACGGTCATCAACCAAATGCATCCATCGACTTCCTGCATATCATAGAAGATCATCACACTATCTAGTGAGAGGCCGCTCCAACTTCGCTTACCGGTTCGAGTTTTCCACTCGAAAACCTTTCTTCCTCATCGGTTGTCGGTTCTTCAAGCTGTATGACCAGCGTACTGGCCATTCGCACCTATGCCGTTAAGTGTTGAGAGCACTACGCTCGAAGTTGTCAACGAGTTGTTTACCTAGGACAAATAGTCCGATTAGGTAAGTCCAACTTCGACCGAGAGGTCAATCGACGGTTTCAACTCGGCTGGACAGCGTTAAGTAAATTACGAATCATATTCTCTACAGGTAAACCTTAAAACTTGAAAACAAGATAGATGTTGCCTGTGATGATATATGCTGGGTTGAAAGTTAACAATGGTAAGCTTCGATTACTTAGTTAATACCTAGCAAGTGAAAATGCTGTATTTAAGACTAATCTGTAACATGGTGTACTCCAAGGTGTAAGTACATAAATATTCTTAGTTTTAGGTTGGCTTTTTCTCATATCAACGTTATCATTGTGTTAAATTACTGGAAAAATAATCAGCCTCTGTTTTGTCACAAAAGATATGAAATGAAGCCATAAAATGTCTTACCATTTAAATAATTTTTTATTTCTTCAATTGCCTGAATTCCAGATCCACTGCTATTAGCATAAAACCCATTAAAAATGCCCACTGCTGAACATAAGCCACCTCATTAGATTTCCTGATAGGATATTTGTCGCAGTTGCCACGCTTGGCAAGCGTTTTTTTTTTAATTTAATTTTTTATTTTAATTTCAATTTGATATCATTCTATTTTAATTCTACATCTCTTCATTTCTAGAAGAATACAAGGACAAGAAGGTACGAAACGGTAGTGTTGGCGACGAGGAATAATGTTCCCTAAAATGATCAGTTAGTTTCTATCTAATAGAACTTTTTATTTAATATACAATTATTTCTCTGAAAAATAAGCTTTGAATTAATTTAGAGTCATGCGTTGCGTAGTAGTGGGCTACGTAATACGATAAAAAGCGTTAAATGCATTGATTGTTTGGTATAATTTAGAAGCACGTGTTACATATTTACTAAGGGCATATGGCACACGATAACGATAATTTAAAAAGAAAAAGCTAAATGCTAGAGAGAAATAGTATTATATACTAGATAAGAATGGCTTTATAGCAAAAAAATAGCAGTTTAATAATAGGGTATTACAACAATTTTCAAATAGTGTTTTGAATGAATCCTAGAGTGATAACAAACCACTATAATTTTTAAATATTTTTTTAAAACCATATAGTGCCAAAAAATTACTTTCAATTTATCGTTTTAAATTTTCGCGTGAAAACGCTACCCGCCATGCAGTTCAGCTCGTGACGACACTGATTAAGTAAATAAAGCGAAATTGCAAAGGAATAAGATATTTTTGGATTTTTAATAATGAGTTATCATCTTTATTATTGGTGTGTAGTGCCAGAATGCAAAAATACGAGCATAAGAACACCGGGGAAGTTATGGATTGAAGTGCTAACTCATTTAAATATGAGAAATACTTGGTTAAAACTGACAAGAAGAGACCCAAAGACATTGTCTACAAAAACTAGAGTGTAGAGAAGATCACTTTGATATAATTATGACTTATTGTACACGCCCCTAGCTGCCCCAACAAAAGTCGACCATACAAGGGCCCATACAGCTGTAGATTCGACGAGCAGCAGGGTACGGGGCCCAACGGCCTATAGACAATTGACCTACACAATTGAGATAAGGCTAGGTAAATATAATAGTAATAGTACGTACCTGGTTACGAAGCTAAGACCGCCCCAAGGATCGGTCAGGCCGTAGGTAGGTGTAGGTGCATGTAAGTGGTGTTTAGTAGTGTTTATTCATGTGGCCTGAACCAACTGAGGTGATCGGGCAGCGGCCTGGTCCCATGCTGCCCCACAATGCTGCATCACTCCAGCAGGCGTCACCAAATGACAACTTATTTCTTCATTTCACTATTTCAGTCTATCAACTTTATTGTACATTTAACTAACTTCTAACTCAACTAAATCCCCGTTAATCGTAATCAAAAAGGTAACACACGGCACGACTAATAAACGGTGGATCAAAGTTCACTTCCGTTTCACGTAGCAACAAGTTATTTCTAGAACCGAACGCGACCATCTCTAGTGTTACAAAGTTCCGGATTCATTTATCACCAAATTACAAATAGGGAACTAACGCGATCTCTTCTCGAGTCACAAAGTTCAGCGTTACAATCAACAAACTAAATTCCTTCGTTCGATATTAAATACTACGCCCGCATTAAGAATTCAAAATCCGCTTCTTGTCACGCACGTACAACTTAGACAATCTAATCCGAGGCGGTCTTCACGAAACCACAAATTCAATAGCGAATTAAACGCGCATAAATACTAAAAATCTAGACCAAAACCAAAACTGATCGCGCGAAACCGCTGCAGCGGTCACTACCAAATCGTTGATCGACCGCACCGCTGCTCTCAAGCTACTGTAACGCACTCGCGTTCTGCGCCCGCCCCTCTGCCGAGCGACGCACACGGGAGTGGGACAACGGTGACCTTTACAAAGTCAGCGGGTGGACACGAGTGTTGAATACAAATTTCCAATGGTAATTGTTTGGCCTAAACCCTTATATTTAACTAGCGTTTATACAAAACAAAGCATCATGAGGTAATAGGTATTGCAAGTCAAATTTTGTAAAAGAAGTTTCGTTATCTTAGATATAACTAAAGATTGCTAATGATGGTAATTATAGATAAACATAACTATGTATATCTATGATTACCATATGATTATCAAAAGACACTCCTCACCTTGGCAGAACAAAAAACGGGATCGTTATTTTAAAAATAACTTTTGCTGTGATATGGTAATGTTTTGTGAGTGGGAATCAATAATATTTGGTAGCGAATGCACCAGATAATAATTAACCGCAACATTACCATCAAACATTAAAAATTGAAACAGAAACAGAAACTTTTTTATTCAATATAGATTATAAATAATACTAATTGAAAGTCACTCTTTTGTTTAATTACCACTGGTTCGGAAAAAACCTCTGTCCTGGGAAGAACCAGCAAGAAACCCAGCGGGACTTTTTTTTTAAATAACAGCTTACAATCATGTATGTTACACACAATAACAACAATAACAACACAACAAATTAGAAATAGCTTGGTAGCGATCACCTCATTTCCAGGGGTTATTATCATCCATAAATTCCTTAATATTATAATAACCCT